AGAATGACTCCTAAACCCTCGAATGAGTTAGCACTTTGCCCCTTACGCTTCCCTCGTCAAGGTTTTTTTTAATATGTTTTGGGTGAGACACCTAAAATAAGGTCTGAGAGGGGATTTCACGGTATGTTCTACGACATCAAATATGTCAGTAAAGACTCCTCTCATGAATCTCAAATCAGAAAATGAATTTTAATTATTTTCCTCAAGGTCTTTATTCGGCAAAGATCTGTATCAAAAGTCAACCATACAGTCTGGTCTCAACCCAACACTTGCTGAACTTATGAGCCATGAAGAAGCATTGCAATTGCAATTTAAGCGCTTCGAGATTTGTCTTGGCAGATGAGAAGCTCTATATAAATTAAATGTATTATTATTATTATTATTAATGGTCATCTTATACTTTAATAATACAGTTTTTAGCCCTAACTTTCAAATTGAATAGGTGCCTAACCAAAACACAATGTTTATCACAGATATATGACAAGGAAAACTTTACAGTACTTAACCACATCTCAAATTAATGTTCAGGTTTCCAGCTTTGAAATGATTTATGCCACTTCTGTCTTGCATAAACTGTTGACCTGTTTTTCTCCACTTGAAGATCCCATGTCCCCGCTAAAAAAGACAAACATGTGTTTTTGTGGGTCTCTAAGAGTAAAATGACTTTTGTGGATAAGCTTTGCTTATAGATGACTTAATGTGTTACAACTAATCTATAGAGTGGTGCAGGGATGACATATTTTTGTCGGCCAACCAGGAAGTTAGAATCCCAATGAATTCCTCGACAAAAAACAATGGGATCTTCCCATTGGATTGAGCATTGAGCGTTGCAGTGTCAGCAAAACAAGAGAGACAGAGAGACTCTTCTCCTCCAGCCTTCCTTGACTATTGGAGATCAGAGAAGTCAGGAGGAGATTAAGAGCGCCTGAGCTAAGGGAGCAAAGAGGAGAGGAGAGGAGAGGGAGAACACAAGGGGGGAGCACATATCAATTTTAAAATAACAACTATGCACATACACCACACTGAGGCTGACCAGGAACAATGGGAAGTACCAGCCAAAGTTTAAATACGTAGATTCTCTACTCTCAAGAAAGTAATCCTTAAGCACTAACAGCATGCAATCCAGCTGCTAGTTTTTTCTGTCTTTTACGTGCATTTTACATTTGCTTTAAGCGCGGCCCACTTCTTGAGGTTAACAAAATAAGGCATTAGCATGACTGCATCCAGCTTGCATTCTGGTATCCGAGGAAAGCCTTTAATTTACTCTGTTTGCTAGTTCACATGGATTAGATTATCAGTTGATAGAGTTAGGCAAAGCAATGGGATTTTTACCACTGGATTTCAGTATACTGCAGAAAATAATCTCTGCCGCAAATACACATTTAAGATACTTAACAGGTTTAGTCCAGGATGGTTTCCATATTTTACCACCACTGTGGTTTTTACAAACTCATTTTGTTGTCGACACAAAATGTGAAAATCTGTTCAACTTTTGTTAACCTCAAACCTTTTTGCACTATTTATTATTATTTGTATGTCTTATGTCCTATATATAATATGTTGTATTTTTGGAGGAACACAGGACCTAAGAATGTATTTGCCATAACTACACTGTAGCTACTGCGCAATGCGCGCATATGATAATAAAACCATTGAATCTTGAATTTCAGGCGTCCAACCAAAAACTAGCTGACTTTGAGAAGAAGGAACTGGAAGTTTATCATTTTAACTCATGAGTTTTAGCACTTATTCCTGCACCACTCTATTTGATCAATGTTACATGTACTAAGCCTGATCATAAGTGCACTGCTTTATTAGATAATGAGCTGTAGACTGGCAGTCCATCTACAACGACTGGTTAGCCATTTCAGATTTTTCACTGCCACCTGCTGGATTTATATAAGATTTTTGTTCAGGTCTTTTTTTTTATTTGACCTTATAATTGTGATATGGGTTATTCCTCTCTTTTAATTTAATTCAAGGGAGTTTTTCTTTTGCAGAAATATTGAAAATTTGAACAAAAGTAACGGAATTAATTTTTGGGAACAAAGTATTATTTCAAACCTGGAAACTACCGTTAGATGGAACAAATAATATCTGCTATTATTATATTTGACATAATCTCTAGTAACAAACCACACACATTCTGTGTTGAAATGCTTCACAATAAACGGTTCCCTCTAAACCCTTATTGTATACTTCCTCATGTTTTTCACAGAAAAAGGCATTGTCGCCAAATCAATTCCCAAAGGTGGATGACCCTGAGTGCACAAGCATAATAAATGCATGCATAAGCATATTCGTAAGTACAATAACTCAAATTCGAATACTACAGGATTTATGCCTAACTTTCATTGCATGAAAAACATTGTCATGATTATTGGGTTTGTTGATAGTTTCCAGTTTTATTTTCAAATGTATTTTCACCTCCCCTTTCCAGCTGTTTCTTGTCTCTGTGATTAGAATTGTGTGTATTTAAGTTCTGCCTTCCCTCATGTTCTGTGTGTTGCCTATATGTTTTCTGCCTGTTCCTGTCTGCGCGTTTGCTCCTGTTCCTTGTGTCTTCTGGGTGGTACTCGTTAAATTCTTTGGTTTTTGCATTACCTGGTCTGGTTAATATAAGCTATATATTCCTATATCCGCCTGCCCTGTGTTTGCATTGCGTTTGGGTTCGGCAGCCTAACCCTCACCGTGGCAAACATTACGTGTATTTCCTGATGCCTTTACAGAGATCGCTCAAGGAGAAAACCTATTATACGAGGAAACCATTAGCAGCATCTCCAAAGCCCACCAAAGCCCACTTCAACCACAAACAGGGAACAAGTTTATATCACTTATCAAACGACTTTCCTTTGTCTAATTGAACTCTTTTCCCACAAATATACTTCCATGAACACATAATATCTGGCTATGACATCATGTGTATTTCCGGATGCCTTTACAGAAATCGCTGAAGAAGACATCATATTACACGAAGAAACCATCAGCGACATCTTCTGAGACAAAAACAAACAAACAAGGGGACACCAGTGTACGTCACTTCACAACAATTGAATTACATTTCTCTACTTTAACACTTTTAACAGAAATATAATTCCATGTACAAAAATTGCCTGGCTAAAACATCATGTGTATTTCCTCTCCTCAGTTAAACATTATGGTAAAACATACAGTAGGGTTCCTTTACTTATTAGTTACAATATTAAAAAAACAAGGGTATTCAATAAAGAGAAAGTTTGTTCGACTAACTAATAAATCAATGATGTACCAACCTGCTTTCAACACAAGTGGTCAGTAGATACAGAAGCCGATTTTCCTTTTTAAGATGATGTCCTTTTCTGGATTCCACAAGATGTTTATTGCAGATGCATCAGCTCTAAAACTGATGTTCTGATCTCACCATGGAATAAGCTAACCTTTTCAATGTTTAACTAAATGCTGTATTTCAGCTGTAAGGGCCTATGAGCGAGTGTTCAAGTATTGGCCAATACCAAGTCTATTAAAAGATACGATTTGATATGAATTGAAATTATTTAAACTTGTTTTAAGCTTTCACAATGTGTTTCATAAAAGATGCAGCTATGGAAGAAAAAAAGAGGTTCTGGGGCGTGTTTGCCAAAGTATTCGGTCCATTTTGTATTCTCCCTTTACCATACACAGATCCCTGAAACACAGCCTGTTCCTGCAATACCGGAGGCAGTTTCAGAACCGCAGTCGTGGGACCGCATTAGGACCCTAGCTAAAGTGTTCAATTTAAGTGCTATATGAGGTATGATGCCTTCTTTCTTTGAATAATAGTGAATAAATAAAAGCTTTTCTACACTTAACAAAAATTGGATTTGTATTGGAGTGAATATGTCTCTAAGAAAGCTTCTAAAACAGAGTTAATTGTATATGCTCACTATATGCTGCTTATTTATTCTAATATTCTCATGTCACTTTGTGCCTCTCATGCGTTCTTCCAATTCACTTTAGTTTAAGTGGCTGATTATGTTAATGGTATTTAGTAATACAAATATAATTTTATAGCAAAACTGACTAATAGCAATAGTGGTGATGACAAAATAATAACTATTTGATTAAATGTACGAGTAAGACTCAAATATATGAACTAATTTGACAGATGTTTTAAAAGGTGAGGTTTTAAAAGCTTCTTAAAAATACAAAGGCTGTCGCTGGAACGGACAGCACTAGTTCATCCCAGCGCCATATGGCGCTGGTTCATCCAACACGAATGAAAAAGATTTTACCTTAGCATACAGGGAACTATTATTATCATCTGCACTGACTCACCACCTTCAAAACAATTTACAAAAACTCACCTCTTCAATCTGGTTTTTAATGTGTGATTGTTTTTGTATTGCTTGATTTTAATTTGACTTTAACTATATTTATTTGTCACTTTTCACATATCTCTGTAAAGCGGCTTTGACTTTGAGCACCTGAAAAAGCACAACAAAATAAATCTATTATTATCTAATCAGATAAATCAATTTCTTGTCTCAGTTTTTAACCCCAAGTATTAATCATGTGCTTTAATCTGTGAGATCTGTGTGATGCATTTTATTATTGCCAAAGGACCCCAGTTCTAGTGTGTAATCTCATATATTATTGTTGTTATCACCACTATTGTTGTTCTATAAATTGAAGTTTGTATATTCTAGTGTTAATTATGGTTGTTTTAGTGGTTTAAGTTGTTGTATGCCGCTTTGGATAAAAAAGCGTCTGCTATACAATAACCATAACAATCTACTTCCCCACTGAAATACTATCTATCCATTGTGTGTATATAATACAATACAATGTATGTTATTATGTGTTTATTCGACAATAACAAAACATATTAGAACATATTTTATTTATTATTATTATTTTATTACAATGTCTAAACAGACTCGCTGTGTAGTAGACTCAATACTCGCTGGTGGTACTTGTGTGGGCATCCAATTCCCTAGGTGGCGATGTTGCAAAAACAACTAGAGTCCATAACAATGCGGTCCCACGACTGTGGCAGTGTGGCCCTGAAACTACTGCAGCCTCCGGCTTTGCAGGAACATAATATTGGAGTCACAAGAGTTGCTGGCTGTGGGGCAGGGGCATATAAAAAAGCATGTCGAAAGTGTTTTTATAATCACTCTCATCTAAGGTTAAACACGTAGTCTGCCCTGGAAGTAAGGTAGGTGGATAGCTTTAGAGATAGCTAGTTTGTTAAATGGATAATGTAAGGTAACTAGCTTATTAAATACTCTCGTGATACCGTTCTAGCCAACAAGCTAGCTAGCTAGCATTTACTGGCTAGTTAGTTAGGTGGAAAGCTAACAATAGATAGCTCGTTTGTTAGATGAATAACACAAACTAGGTAGCTTGTTTGATAGATCAACCCAGTCTCACGGAAGTTCGTAACATGGTCACGTAATTTAATCTATTGAATCGTGGTCAGGGACACGTAATTCACGTTTTTTTCGTGTTCTTTTTTTAACCATAACGGGTACTTTACACTACATTGAGTCAAACTTATCCTTGTTTTAAGGATAATTACGAAACAGGAAACACGTAAATGAATTCACCCAGACTGTCTGAAGTAGTTAAACGGTCACAATGTGCATTTCAAAAAGCTAGTTTTCACTACATAATTCACTTTTTCTGTTCTCTCCTGCAGCTGCTGTAGCCCACAAACCCATACACTGGTCTACACCTACACATTTTAACAGCCAAACTCAGGCTATCTCCCTATCTAGCTCTCTAATATCTATTATCTTTATCGATTTCTTTATTAACCCTTCTATCTATTCTGTGTACTTGTCTATATTAACCTGTGTTTGTTATTCTGTTTGTCAGTCTGTCTGTAATCCCTTTTTCCATCATGCCACGTGGGTCTACAAAAAAGACATGTCCCTTCTGTCTGGGCATTTTATTTTGTGCTCAGAAGATCTGTGCACATTGCCTTAAGGAGCAGCCGAAAAAGCAGCGCCTTGAGAAGAAGCTCAAGAGGTTTGATGAGAAGCGAAAGGAATGGGTGTCAGGGCGGAAGAAGAACAACAACATTGGGTCCATCAAGGATGAAGCCATTATCTTGGTATGTACAATTTTACTGTACGTTAGATGTGGTACAATTTGAGATAAAGTAAGCATTCTATTGCAAAGTTAGAAATAACCCTTCTGCCAATATATTGGGCCAGGATAAAGTTGAATGTTGTTTTTATATACATTTATTTCTTAATGATGTCTGTATCTTAGAAAACCAATATACATTTAATATCAACTTCGAATACAGATATTATTGCAAAGGTATTATTTAATATTCTCTTTTCTTTCAGTTTTAAAACTACTCTTATCTTAACTTTCACACCCGAGGGACAATATTTTAATTGAACTTTCACGTTTAAATAAACAGAGCACTTCCTTCCATGTTGTGTTCCATTCTTGCTTATGTACACATTTGTAGACCTTAATAAGACTACATAATTGTATGTTACTACTCTATTTTACTCTTACGACTGTAGCCACAACATACGGGAACGTTTTACAGGCACCCGGGCGCTGAGCAATAGCTGCCCACTGCTCCTAGTACTAGACTCCTGGTACTAGGATGGGTTACATGCAGAGAACACATGTCACTGTGTGTGCTGTGTGCTCTGCATGTGTGACCATTAAAGAGGGGTTCATCCCTCCCTATTCTATTGTATTCTATTTAAATGTCAGTATCGCTGTTGATTATGTTCATTCAACAGTGGCAAGCTAAAACTTGGATTGTGTTTAATATTTAATTGTACAATACTCATTTTAAGTGTTAACTGTTCATTGTATCTAACTAATTGCCTTACATATGCTACAAATGTCAAACATCTGTTGTACTTTAACTTTAAAGGTCCCATGTCATGGCCATTTCCACTGATCATAATTCCATTGTTGAGGTCTACTAGAATAGATTTATACTGTGCAATTTTCCAAACTCACATTGGTTTCGCATACAGCATCTCTGTAAAGTATGTGTATTCAGCAGTATTCACTCTCTCCACTAAACGGCTCGTTGCAGCTCTTGCCCCCCCCCCCTCCCTGTGAGCCCAGTGTGCTCTGATTGGTCGGGACCAGCGGGACGTTGTGAATCGCGCTGAGCTCCGTGGAGGTGTGGAGGTGTTTAGCGATACACATCGAAACACAGCCAAACTCACCCTGAGCACACACAAAGTCACAGCCGAAGTAAAAACAATAAGTGTGGCTTGATACTGAGTAAGAAAAAGGTTGATAAACGCTGTGAGAATGGGTCTGCAGAGAGAATTTCGCCGCGATCCCAACTGTCTGTTATCAGCCTGCAGCCAGGGAGGAGAGATCAGCAGAGCTGCTTGCACTGACTGTGTGAGGAAGTCCGTGGATTGGTCAATTTGGACCAATCAGCGGGGGCTTAACGTAACGGCTCCGCGGATTGGTCCTTTTCGTTCCGGGTACAGATGACATCATGATGTACCCGGAAGAATCAAATGGACAATGACGTATCTCCAACGAGGCGTTTTGGGGAGGTATTTTCTGTGTTAGAGTTTTACTCGCTACAGGGTGTACTTTGAGGGTTTTGACTCTGCACACCGTTTACATGCATAAAAACCTTCATAACACACAAGGGGACGGGTAATAACCGGAAAAGCATGACATGGGACCTTTAAGATTTTCAGGGTTTGAACTGGGACTCGGATACTGATTTATTTTTATTTGTGTTTGTCTATAAAATATTGTTCTGCTTCTACTGTGTAACCCTTCCTGGTACATTCATGGTTCTGCAAAAGCTAAACTCAGCATCTAGGTTTATGAATGGCATACACCTAGATGCTGTCATCAGTAATGTTATAGTTTTCTCAATAATTCATATGCTGAGTTGTTGTTGATGTTGCATTTCCATTTCTTTAAACAGTAAATATATTATTTTGTCATTACAGCTTGAGAAACTCCATGCCATTGGCTTTAAACCAGTGCTGCTTCTTTGCAAGAAAACCAAGAAGAAGGAAAAAAAATGTGAAATACTAACCCCTCGCTGCACGCTGACCGCCTATGCCCAGGACTACCTTGAGAAGATCGGCACTATTTATGAGTTTTTTTGTAAAGGTGAGATTTTTGCACTATATCTTCACAGTTCACATAAAGTGTTGTGTACACAACATCTTTGTATCAATGTTAAACTCTTCTAGGGATGGTTCACCCCTAAAACTTAAGTTCAGTCAACAACTCCTCCCCTCCCTGACAATATAAACGTTGGAGATTTCCTTATAACCAACACAGTTATATGGGATGAGTTTGGATCAACTCATTTAAGTAACAACTTACGGCGACTGTTTCAATCCATCCAAATCTTGAGACAACAACTTGATCCAGTATATATCAGTCATTCAAGCCATTTATTTGGGTTTGGCAAACTATATTTTTGTAAGACAACTAACACACATCTTTTCTACCTGTTAACCAGAGGTGGGGGTAAGTCCTACATGTGCAAGTCTTAACCTACAAGTCCCAAGTCACTGTGGTAAGAGTCAAGCAAGTCACAAGTCAAGTCATATGAAATTCTGATGAATAACCCCAGTTTCCGCATTTAAATCAGTTAAAATATTGTGGTTATGAAAAGTTTAGTTTTATTTTCAACATAAACAGCACTGGAGAGTGGGGCGCTGAATGTATGCACTGCCATTTCCCAACATAAACATTATAGTCTGCAATGAAACGGCTGTCTCCTGTGTGCTCCACTTCCTACTTAGCGCTCCGGTAACTTTAGGTGCTCTGTACAATACAAATGCAAATATTTAATTAAAAAAAGTGAAGTCCTTTCAAGTCATCTGTCTCAAGTCAAAGTCAAATCAAGTCTTTTATCAATGTTAGTCAAGCAAGTCTCAAGTCCAAAATATGCGACTCGAGTCAGACTCGAGTTAAGTCATGCGACTCGAGTCAGACTCGAGTTAAGTCATGCGACTCGAGTCAGACTCGAGTTAAGTCATGCGACTCGAGTCAGACTCGAGTTAAGTCATGCGACTCGAGTCAGACTCGAGTTAAGTCATGCGACTCGAGTCAGACTCGAGTTAAGTCATGCGACTCGAGTCAGACTCGAGTTAAGTCATGCGACTCGAGTCAGACTCGAGTTAAGTCATGTGACTCGAGTCCCCACCTCTGCTGTTAACTGTCACTATTTTTAGCTGCAAAGTATTACAAAAGTTGAAAGTAATTACAAAAGATTTGGGGATATGGAGAACGTTTGACTGTTTATTTTTATAGCAAACTACATACAATAAATACATTTTTAAACACTGAGTAGTAGCCTAATGAGACGTGGCTTACTCTGCAGAGGGGACTTATGGACATTTAACTGTTATTTATCAGGAAATAGGTAGCCAAGTTTACTTCAATTTGAAAAACAATTTTGGGGTGTTGTGCTACCACTTGCGCATTCATTGTATACAAATAGAAAGTTCTAAAGTTGTTAAAGTCAAGGTAGTTAGTTTTGATGATGGAAATGTAGATTTAGGGTTGAGCCATCCCTTAAGTGATTTCCTTTTAGCAATCCGTTCCTAAACTGTTTCCTTTATCAACGCCCAAAAGGGAGGAAGGTTTTGAGGTTAATGGTAAGAGCACAATACATGAAGACGATCCCAGTTGACCACATATTCAGTTATTCATATGGCAGTTCTGTATTAGTGTCATAATATCGCAAAAACGAAACCATCAATGGTTGACTGGATACATACCACTATTACTCTGCTATTAGCTTTGAGTGCACACAGTCCTATGACATGACGACAAGTACATTTTTGACCCTGTCTGGAAACATACCTTAAGCACGCTGTATTTCTTATTTCTAGATATATGAGTTAACCTCTTTGTCTTAAGCAAGTCAAGACCAACATTTGTTTAACTTGCACAGGTTGGACACAGGACTCCACTGGCCAGGGGGTTAAGGAAGATCCTGATGAAGAGAGAGTCACGCTGAACATCACACCCTGTGACCCATCGGAACCAACAAACAACTGGCAGGAGGCAGGGACCACAGAGAGCCAGGTGCTGGAGACGAGCATCGTGCAGGTGGAGGTGCTAAAGACCCCCCCCGTGAAGCAGTGCACCACCACAGAGGTGGGGCAGGAGGAGCCGTACCAGCAGGATATGGAGGTTGAGCAAGCTACAGAAAATGTGACACAGGTTACCATCACGGAGGGGCCAGGTAATAAGGAGAGATTTGCAGATTTTATATTTTTAAAAGTAAAAAGTGTTTTCCGATCTTTCCTAAAAAAATATTGTAGGTCACTTGTTGACAAGTCATGCTTCTACAATATCTGAAAACACCTAATTGCACTTCTCTTAACAAGTGCTGAAACATGTGACTGCCTATCAGTGAATACTAGAAGTGATTTTTGGGAATAATGATTGTTCCAATAGGTAAATTAATTATAAAAACAATAGCTTAATTTAAACAATTCTAAATAGCAATTCAAACTACATCTTCATGAATAGGAAAGGAAAATGGGATACTTGGGTATGTGTATATCCTTAGGTACTCAGATATAAATACATATTAAACATTTAGAAAAATACAGTCTTTCATTCCTGAACAGACAACATGTGGTTACTATATGGTTATTCCTTTTCCCCCCAAAAATGCAAAGCAACAGAAGGCTTACTGTACATTTGATAAATCACAAAATAAAATGTGATTTTATGTCATTTGGTTTTATGTCATTTGGTTTACACACAGAAAGGGCCTCACATTGTAGCGTTGGGCTGTAGGTCCATAACATCAAAATGATTTGGCTCATGTCCATATATTGTACGAGAGGTTGATATCATTAATATTGTGGTCTGCCTAAAGCAATCCCTCACCATAGGGGTAAACTTCGAAGCAACTCGTGCAAAAACGTGATGCAGTATATTTAAACTTTATACTCAAAAACTGCATTTAGATACGACACTGTCCCGTAATGAAGATACTTTAGCAAGTGCATGTTAATGCAGTGTTCAGTGAGTTAACAATGCTATATTGTGACTACTTATAACTGATGCATTATCCAGAAATCCAAAGGGCTTTAATTGTCTAATTAGACTAAAATACATACAGTCATAGTTGATAAGGTGGATATCAGAATGCAATGCAGTGCAGTATTTTCTTTTGTCATCTCAGGCTCAGCAGTGGTATGGCCATTCAAACAAGCATCCCATTTTAGGACTGAGAGCATCTTGGTTCCATTTCAATGATGTTTCCACTTTTGACCAGTGATTTCATCGTGTAAGTCTGGTTGCTACTTAAGTGTTCATAGTTGTATTTATTTTATTTCTAGTATGACTAATACTGTATTTGGAACCTGCTTTGATGTTCACAGATTGCTCCTACCACACTCACCTAGAAGCTTTCCCCATCAGGAGTGTAATAAGAGAAAGAATGAGAAAGGTTTGACAGGAATACAAGTATAATAATAGGGTGCTTTATGATTTACAAACTTCCACCACAATTGTTTGCTAAATATTTAATATGTGTTTGGTCTTTCTGAAATTAGAGATTTGTTTTCTTCTCTTGATAGGGAGAAGCAGAAATGTTGGTGGAGTGGGAGCCCTGTCCAGTATGGTATATATCTTCCAGTTACCTGGCTTCATGTCATCTGATGTAGTCCCATGTTGGAGAACAAACGCATGATATTTAACAAATGCAAAACATCCAAATCTACCACCAGTCCTCTTATATATTTCACTGTTATTCTGCATCAGCTGAAGTAGTGGAGGAACAAATGATTGGTTTACTTCATTGTTGTTAATGTATGGATGTATTTTTGTTAGTTTGTTTTTATTGTTTGTTTGAAAATGTGTTTTAATTTCTACTTTCACTTTTTCTAAATGGTGGTGGTCGTTAATAAATGAAACATTTACTTATATAAATTGAGTTATAAGATGATGTGTGCTTCACACATGGTTTCTGCTTTTTGGAAAGATGAAACAAGGACCTGTAACCAACATTATTCCATTCTGTTTTCAGTGGCAAGGAGTGGGCTCATTCCTGGCAGTTGAAGAATTCTCTGGAATAATGCAAACAAATAAAATCTATTATTTGAACTCCACTTTTGTTTTTGTACGTTTATTCTCTTGTTTATATGCTCCATTTGAGTCATATTTAATATTTTTCTATTAGAAATAAGATGAAAACCACCACCAAAATGCATTTGACTTTTCAGGAAAATACAGTTGAAATACATGATTTCAGTGATGGGAACACCAAGCATTACATTAAGCATATTCATTTGTGAAATCTGTTACTTTGCAATCCACTGCCTTATCTAATTTGTATAACTTTCGAAGTATAACGCTTTGGAGTAGGCTTGCATAGAATTTAATTACAGGCCTATTAAGATGATCCTGATGTGGATCACTGTGGGTTTGCTACTACATTTGAAGGCTTTTGGGGACAGATTTAAATGCTTGAGAAATTAAAATGGTAGTGATTACTTAGAATGTTCTTTTTCACTTATTGAAACCCACAACTCGAGTATCAGGATGGCCTTTATCTGGAAAGTTATCCACATCTCATCCCCACGTTGTCACACGCTTTGTCACTTCACAGATACGGTACCCGGATCTCAGGGCAAAAGTACAAATGTGTATTGTATATTTGTTTTAAACAAGCGCACAGCCCCACCTAGTGTCAGCAGAAAGTAATGCAAATAATTCCCAAAATATGCAAAAAAAATACAAAATATATTTTAAGATCATGTTTAGTCATCTGATTTGTCTGTACATTACTGTTTTAGTCTGATTTCTTCTAATTGGTGTCCACAGTGTGCCTATTGAGCGATGTGGGGCAAGCCCCTCTCTGCTGTTAAAATGAATGTGTACTGTAAAAACTACACCGCATGCTCAGAGTATTTTTCTATTCATTGTGTGCGGCAACAAAATAATCACCATAGGGGCACTGTGCTGCCATACCCACCAAACGTCATCTCATAATTCATAGAGCTGATTGGCTGTAAGTACGTGTGCCGCGAAAAGTTTAGACGTGAAGAGGAGACGAGAGAGAGCAGTTTATAGTGATTAAAATCAGTAAAACGGAAAGAAAATGAATGAAGTTGACCATCAACTTCAGTTTTGGTAAGTTCATTTTATGTCATTTTCATTTTTATCTTTATTTGGTCTTCTGTGTTTTGCCTATAGGCTATTGCTCTTCAAATTCAAGTTAAAGTAATTCCCCAACAACAGTCCCCTATCTATGACCTCATTTCATGCTGGAGGCTGCGAGGCAGGGGTGGATCTAGAAACATATTCATGGGGTGGCAAGAGGGTGGCAGGAGATTTTGAGGGGTGGCATCCCCTGGCAGAAGTATATGCTGATTTAATCCCAGTCATATCAATCAACGTTAACTTGGAAAGCCGCAATATTTATATTTTAACTCAATAACATTAGGTGACATTATTGTGGCACATCAGTAAAGCCTTACATATAAATATATAAGGTGGCAGACATAATGTCATGCATTTTAACTGAACAATAACTGAGGGTACCAAATCTATGCAGACTTCTGCAATAAGTACATTAATGAACTGTCTCATCGATGTGTGTCTGTATGAATATGATACTATTAACAATCATATTATTCCTATCAGCTGTCAATCACTGTTATGATTCACATATTCAGTGTTATTATTAAATAAACTATATTTTTTGGAGGAGTTAATGATGAATGTTCCTCAAGATGCTTGCTCACATCCTTCAAATTTGAAAGACAAATTACTATCATATATCAAAAGAACAGTTACAACCTTGACTTTACATCAGAAAGAACAAACATTAAAGAAGTGACTAACTGCATCAGTTAGGGTTAAAAAACGTGTATTCAGCTAAAACATATACATTGCTGTAGTAAGTTATTATCCAGTGGAAAGTCCTTACCTACTGGCCTAGTTAAATCAAAGTGGTTACTTTCTTTTGGCTGGGCAGTGTAGTTTTACACACCGTCTTATCTGACTTTCTCAGGACTTGAAACTGTTTTTTGGGGGCAGACCCCCACAAAGAAGAACCATTTTATATACATGTAAGGTCATCATCTTAACCGTGTTTTATGCTCATCGAGTCATCTGTGAGCAGAGCATCAAGTTGGCATGCCTATAACAGCTGAATGCGGCGATTACCGCATGTATATTACAGTATGTTCAGCAAATCGCCTCACAAACTTATTAAGATTTAAAGCTTTAGTGCGTTTTGATTCAATGCTGAGTACAGCCAAACTTGACGGTCTCTTCTCTGTCATTGTAGACCGCAAATACCTCATTCCTTCCGTGTACTTGGGTCCGAATGCTTCTCGTTTTGCGCCGTCCCGTTCAAATGAAATCGACGCTAATCATATTTCCACGCTCGCGGGGTTACAAGACTTGCGTCTTGTGCTGCATTCACTTGCACTCGGATATTAGAGATTTTCTCTCATAAATGTCCGATGAGCCACAACTTTTCTTTCAAAACAAAGCTGCCAACTGGGGTGGCAGCTGGGGTGGCAAGGCTATTGTTTAGGGTGGCAGTTGCCACCCCATGCCACCCCGGTAGATCCGCCCCTGCTAACCTGGTCCCGACCAGGTTAAGCATAAGTAGAACCGGTTCTGGCCGACTTGTCTGATCCTGGATCACAAAAAATGGGATTTCAAAATGGGATCGGATCTGATTGAGATTAAAAGTTTGGAACTACTGGGCCCAGATGAATAGTATTGCTGACGGTTTGTGTCTCCATTGTTCCCCAGTTGTGCTGCTATGCGTAGAACCGCCACTGCTGCGAGGTGATCAGGGGGTCTTTGATGGCAGCACGACTGTAGCACATGCACACTTAAAGTAAAACAAAAATAGTTTCTTTTTTTATATGAAATAACAGTCCATTCTAAGCACAGTATGTAGCATAGCTATACTTTTAACTCTCCTGTTGTGTTCGGGTCAAATCTGGCCGATTTACTACTTTCATCAATCATAACTTTTTTGTTTTACATTTGATTGCATTAAGGCTTTATGATATCCTTCACAGTAGACATTTGAACATATAAAATTGCTGATCATCACTTTCATTGAATTTTGGATGATTTAGTCAACTTTGTAACACACATGGTGTTCCCATAAAGAAAAGGAATTAGTAACCATCCGGATCAGATAAAACACACACACACACACACACACACACACACACACACACACACATACACTAGATGTGTGTGTGTGTCCCCTTATGTGGCCATCCCCCCATGTGAATCACACCTGGCGCTCACACACACACACACACACACACACACACACACACACACACACACACACACACACACACACACACACACACACACACACACACACATACACACACACACACACACACACACACACACACACACACACATACACACACACATACACTAGATGTGTGTGTGTCCCCTTATGTGCCCATCCCCCCATGTGAATCACACTTGGCACACGGAATACATGTTCAGTGTCTATTCTTTGTATATTTCCTGCAGGTTTTCATGTATACCAGTAGTCTGATACAATATTTACAGTTTGAAATTTGGTGATGATTAATGGTTTTTGTGTTAATGTAATAGCAGTTAAAACAGGACCGGTCAAATTTGACCGCGAACACAAGTAAGGGGGGGAAAACTAACACAACAGGAGGGTTTTAATGTAACCATTGCTTATGACAGTGATGATATGTTAAATCATAAAACATATCCCCTAAAATGTGGAAGCTCTGGGTGCCATACAAATGAATAATTGCGATTTTTTTTTTAGGCCACAACTTGGCACTAGAGCACCTAGTGTTATCAAACACATTTCAATGGTGAAACTATCAGAAAATATTGCATATGACAATATTTTCAAACCTTAGTCTGGTTCTATAAACTAACAACCAGTGTTCCAGATGAGGATCATCTCTTTAATAAAATAACCAAGTACTATCCCATATTGTTACTTCTAAATGTATTTATTTTCAAACGCATTATAATGCAGTCTGATGTAAGTATGCTTAATGTATAATTATTCATCAATTATCAACCACATGTCTTGACTCTAGAGCGTCAGGGGTTAGTTTAACATGAAAAGCATGGACAACAGAACATAAAATCAAGTTATGCAAACGGTTATAATATAAGGAGATGTTTCTACACGGACCCTCACTATTGCGGTAAGCGTGTTGTCACTTCCGGTTGTTGTTGTCTTGTCCGGGTATCCTGTGTGCCTGTTCTGCTGCTGATAGCTTATATTATTTTAAATCGATAGTTTTAAAATTCTTGATCACGGCAGCTACCTGACGTTGTAATCACACGTTAAGCTTAAGCACTCACAACTCTCCTTCTCTTAGCGACTGTAACTGTTGTTGTCTATGCTTTTCCCTTTTCTCATCCAATGCCATTCATGAACTCAGATCAACCTCACTTGATTGGTACTAAGTTGAGGCAGAAGAGGCAGGTTCGGTCTTCGTCTTCGGTCTCTGCCAATGGCTCGAACCTGGAGTGGGTGACCTGGAACAACTCTGTCCCAAACAATTCTATTTCAATTTACAATAGTGAATTCAAACGCACAGATTACATCTGCAAACACAGATGTAGTGCTGGCTTTTATGCCCCCAGCCAGGGTCCTCATTGCCACTATGCTACTGCAAAGAAGGCATATTCTGCTTCTCCGTTTGCGCTCCTGAAACAACTTTGAGATCCTGGAGTGGAAGGAGGATTCACATGGTTCAGTGCCCAAGAGTTCAGTCAAAACCTGCCCTGGGGGAGACATTTACGTAGGAAAAAACAAATATGGACTTGGAAAAGTTGCTACTAAAGCTAAGAGCTTCTACCTTTCTTGGAAAGGTAAAGTATATAAGTATAGCAAGTACCAGGTTCTGACCATCACTGAGGATATAATCAGCCAGGAGATCAATGACGTACCACAAGGATGAGTCTAAAATGGTCAATTTTCCTCCAGAGATCATTAGGAAAACATCCATCACTAACAAGGAACACAACTCAGTGGTAAAAAAGGATACACCTTCTCAAAGTATCAGACTCAAAAAAGGTGGGATTACGCAATCTCTGTTAAACTTTGTG